TCAGTTTATTGGGTAGTTCCAGTGGAGGGTTATCACGAGGAATTAATGCGAAAGTATGAGGAAAATTGTTTTATGAAGTGTAAAAGTAGGCAAACACCTTCATCACACATCGTAAACTCTGAAAATTGTGAAAATTAATGCGACAACGCGGGGGGGGGGGGGGAACACGGTCGCACACACACCTCACCCCCCCGCGTTGAAGGTTGTCCTCGTAAACCCCCCCCGAGAACCAGTTTTTTCCAACCCTTGGGGAACGAAATCTCGACGTGTATACATAGTTAGTGGCGGACTCATTCATTTGGATTCCCGCTGTATGAAGAAATTAAAGGACGGCGCAAGTGGAAACAATTCACAAAGGGATTGAACTGTTTAAAACACATGCTCAAAGTAAGCCGGGTTTTGCCGATGTGTTTATGTGGATTCAAAAGTCGTAAATAATCTACAAAATGGAGGAGACCGATCTGATCGGAGCAACTGGGACAAATAATCCAACTGAAACCGGCATGGACGATGACTATGTTTTAAAAATGCGCTTATCCAGAAAATCCTGGTTTGGACACTTTACGGGCAGAAGAAACATTTCTATTAAAGAAAGAATTATACATTTCTGTCTTTTTATGCCTTTAATACTAACTTGAATTTTTATTAAAATTAATTAATCAATTATTTTTTATATTTTATTGTAATGTAGAGACAAGGCTTTTAGTGACAATAATGTATTGCCTTACAAAAAAAGAAAAAGAAAAAAGTCTAAATATGATATTTGGCCTCAAATCATCTGAGGCCTGGTGCCCCCCTGCGATCTTTGGCGCCACCCCAAGGGGGGCGCGCCCCCCAGGTTGGGAACCACTGCTTTAAAGAGTGTGGAGGACAGTAAGAAAGATCAACTTACAATGGACTACAGTGCCATTGTTCATTGTCTCAAAGATAGTGCACAATGGGGCTCATTTATGGACCGAATGGCAATCAATGGCTGAAGAATAAACCAGTATTTGCGGATCAAACACATGGCTTTGGTGTTCATACAAAAAGAAGACAGCAAATCACCAGACTTCTTTTTCTTTGAGGTGAAGTCTAGGTCACAGCTGCAGGGGAGCTATGTTAGTAGTGAAAGTAAAGAAAGGAGATAACTAACCCGATGAGAACTTTATTTATGAACTGCAGCTTTTGGTTACCTCAGCCCTTGGCTACACAATACATAACTCCTCAAGAAGAGTGACAACTACTTGGATGGGAACGTGACCCACTGAGGCAGAAGGGGGGTGAAATACCAGTACAATTTCCCTTAAGTAGGCCAAAAATGGAAAAACTACACAAATATATTCTTACGTTTAACATATTTATACCCCTTTTTTCCACTGTATCCCGTTTCAGTGGAAGGTCCCATTTTCCAAGAAAGGATTATTGAAGTTTCTTGTTTTATTATCTGTTATCAGACCCTTTCATCTGTTTTATTATCTCTCAGTGCAGGCAGGAGAGAAGTGAATGCAACCATTTTCCGACACATGTTGACACTTTAACATCTTGACATGGACGTTGGATGGATGTCTATTTATTGCTAGTGTGTTACTCAATCCATATGTGACTACAGGCTCAAAAGCATCTATTCCATGTGGTAAAAGAGTGAGGAATGAGTCATAAAACCCGGAAATCAATCAACATTTGAACACTTTTAGTTATTTCGTCTCAAAGTCAATGTTTTTTTAATTATGTTTTTTTGGTTGGAAGCCTGAAATAAGGTCTGTGGTTAACACAAACTGAAGAGATGTTGGTTCTACGACATAAAATACGTGAGTAAATACCCCACAGGTGAATTTAATTAGGGCGGTTGCTGTCAAGTGTCTAAATGAGACGACTAAACACAACCCGCCAAACATTAGCCGCCTTTAGCTTAGCGGCGGTGACATGAAGTCATGTGACCGTGCTGTAGTTCCTTTATAGCCCAACATTAGCCGCCTTTAGCTTAGCGGTGGTGACGTGA